AAGTGTGGGTGAAGACTTTGGAAAGAAACCCATATAGGAATAATCAGAGATTCCACAGTAATGCCACAAAGAGGAGACCATTTAGTCAACTTCATAAAACAATTGTTAACCAGATAAGATCTATGGTAGAAAACACGACTATAATCCATGTCATTGAAAAGTTTAATCAAATTGTGGAAAGGGTCCAATAATGTAATAGAGAAATCCCCTTGAAGCTTAAGCTTGAAAAAAACCTACGAATAGAATCAAGGGAATGGCGACTAGAGGGGAAAAAATCGACTAAAACATATTGAAAAGGAGCTATGAGTGCCAAAATTTCTTCCTCCGATATCCACAGAGATGTAAGACCACGAAAAGATGAAGGTTTCAATTCTGGAAAAATAATTTTGTAGATACCATCAAGAGCCTCAATGAAAGAGCAAGATTTGGTCGAACCGTCCAAAAAACCACGGTCAACCAAACGATTCACCGCCATTCTGGCTAAGAGGCCAAAGGTGGACGAATTAAAAGAAAACCAGAGAAGAAAGGAAGAGGAGGAACTTCCCTAAACTTTGAACGATAAAATAAGGGCCAGCCAACGCCACCAATCGGCCGCTAGGGAAACCCTAACGGAAGGAGAATGGGGACGGGAGTGGGGGAAATTAGATTATTAACTTGTACATCAAATTTATTGACTTTAATTCTATTACTAAACAAAGGTGGAATCAAGAAGAGCTCAGGGTGGAAATTGCTCACCTTGAAATATTTTTTTCTTTATAATAATAAGCTTTTTAACTATTTTATCCATCTTAATAAATGCTTTTGTCTAAATTCTAAGAAAATTTTTTTATTTCATATATAAATTTATGTATTTTGCAATACTACTATTTTATCCAACCTTAAAACAAAAACTTGATTCCAACCTATCGTTAAAATTTACTTATAGAAAATACATCGATAATACTATCGTAAATTAATAATGGACAAGCCATTAGTAAATTACTCAAAGAAGAACTTTAAATAAATTACTTTCATCATGATGTGCAACATATTAGTGACTAATTTTTATTTTTGACAATGGTCATAGCAACAAAAATATTCCATTCAATAGCGGAGCTAGAAAATTTTTCAGTGGAGCTCTAATTGACAAACTTTACCTCAATTTTAAAGCAAAAAAAAAAAAAAAAAACAATGGCCATAATAAATTTATCCAATTTATAAATCATTTGTAAATCAGATAAATCAAGATTATGTTATATTAAATTTTATAAAATAAAGTAATAATTCAAACATTTCTGAGATTATGCATTTAACTTCAACTTTTATAACATTCATTTATTTATAAAATGTATGATATGAATAACTAGACCAATTTCATTTTGAAAAAAGTGAAAGAAGCTCACAGTTACCACGAGGGAATTTTAAAAAGGATCACCGATTCTAGATGAATTAGCAAAAGGTACAAAATTTTTAATTTAAAAAGGATAAGAAACAATTGTCCGTTTTTGTGTTTTGCACTTTTGCGTGAAAAAAAAATAAAAAAATACGTAAGATTTTTTCTGCATTCTCCTTTTAAACAAAAATTTTTAACGTTTTCTGCTGAATATTGAGAGAGATACCGGGGAGAGAGAGACATGAGATTAAATCAAAATTAGTTGATTAATCATATATAATATTAAACTTTAAATAGTTATAAATATTAAATATAAAAAATTTAATAGTTATAAATATTAATTATATTAAATTATAATATAAAAAATCTGATTAAAAAATTAAGTTTAAGTTATATTTATATTTAAGTAAATATTTATATTTTGTGCAACTCTTGATCTTCAACAATATATAATTTATTAATCTTCAGCTAAATATGAACATTAGTGAAGGACTATGATCCTTTCGGCCACTATTGTCGATCGACTACGATCCCTCCAATCATCATTGTTCATTGACGACGGTCCCTCTGACCACCGTCACCCTTTGACTGCATTCCCTCCAACTACCATTGTAATAACTCATATTTTGACTCAAATAAATAAATTTTTTAGGACTAAGTCAAAGTTGAAAATCATCATCACTATAAGATATATATTACTGTATTTTAATTACATGATCTTTCATAATTTTTGGACACTAATGGAATTTTTTAAGCAATTAATACATGTCATTAACTTTTTATATATTATAGATAACGAGATTATGAACGTTTTGAATGTTTATTTATTATTTTTTATATAATATGAAATTTATTTTAACGTCTTAAAATAGTACTTTAGTTCAATTAAAGATTTAAAATATTATTTGATGTGATATCTAATAATTTGATAATTTCTAAAAATAAAAAAAATTTACTAAGTAGGATTTTTGTTGACTATCATTACGTTCAATTATATTTTATTTGCTGCAATGCATTAGAAATGAATGTGAATATGTGATTGAGATTATTGTTATAGTATTTTGAAAATAATGTGTGTAAAAGACAAGCAATTGGGAGTAATTGTTATGATTTTATTATCCTCTACTGATTCACGTGATACACTAATTGAGAGTTATAAAGAATTGATTATTATGCCGACATATAAAAAGAAATGACTCAATTTACTGAACAAACAGTTTATTGACATTGATACGATACTAAAAATACAGTTGTTGCGGGCTAGAATATACGCGGCGATAAAGTTAGTAAATTTCCGTCTCAACGTTGTACGGATATCCAGCACACAAACAGAGTAGAAATAATAACACTAGAATTTTTACGTGGAAAATCCTGAAAAGGGAAAAAACCACGGGGACACGCCCAGTTGAAATAATTTCACTAGTGTTTGTTTTAAGTACAAGAGGCTGATTCATCTTTGCAGAATTTCGGCGTCACTCGGGCGTCGGGTAGAACTCCAGCGATGGTCGAGGAGGAGTTATTCCCTCCTAACTTTCTTCTCTTCTCCTCTCCTTCTTCTCTTCTTACTCTTGCTTCTTCTTGCTTGGGTCTTCTCTCGAGAGAAATGAGGGGTCTATTTATAGATTTTTTGGAGTGGCATCGCCCGTAAATAGATGAGGGATCAGGGGCAAATATTGAGTGGTTCGGATGGACGGCCGATATTGAATCCTATAATGTTGGACTGTTCATCAGATATTTGAAGGTCTTAATGATGTCGAAATTTGGCGATCATGAGCTCGTTGTATTTGCCTCGTCGAGCCGCTCGATTCGACTATAAGCTCGTCAAGTTCGGAGACCGTTTAGTAACTCAAATTGTGGTACGAACTTTCTAATAGCACTTCGGGTCCTTGATTTGGACTCATTTGGGCTCGGATTTAGTTGAATTTGGTGTCGTTGGGTTCGTATTTCTGAGATGCTCAGTTTGGCTGTAAGTTTACTGAAATCAGAGTTCAGATGATCCTGAATTTAATTTTTGAAATTTTCCGGGTTGATTTTGCCTCAGATTTGTGCCTGATCAAGATAATTTTTTGATGATATATCAATAGTGATAGCCATAATCATTATTTATTTAGTGTGGCTACTAAAATAAATATTATTAAGGCATTATCATATTAAAGTACAGATTTATTATTAACACTATTATTGATTTATTGATTTATATATATAACAAAAATCACACATATATATATATATATATATATATATATATATATATATTAGGCTCCAAGAAGATTTACATGATATATTGAACATGTGATTAAGATATTGATTTAATATTGATATAGAATAACTTGATAGTATGCGTACACTTCTATATGATTTTACTATATTAATTTGATTTTGATAGTCTTTATCGATGATTAGATTTTATTATTTTATATGATTTTTTCTTTTATTATAGTATTGATATAATGATTACTTTAGTAATTTGACATTTGTATTGATTTATTATATTCCGTACCATACATTTTTACTATTTATATAGTGATTTAATGATCATATGAATACAAATGTAATGATTGGTTTGCTCACATGCATATTGCTTCATTGTCTTGTATTGAGTTTAATTATAGGATTTGATTGCTTGGTTTTGTGAGCTCATTATACGTGGTTAAATATCTTTATATCAGGGTAAAGGATCTAAAGTGTGAGATTGACTATGATTCATCTGATTCTATTTCTTTTTTTTAGTTATTCTTTTTGTACTTAAGACAAAGTAGTTATTATACGATTGTACATATCCTGAGTAATATAAATGATTTTTGAAAAATAAATACTATAGATATTTTGAATTCTAAAATTTGTTACCACTGTTTTGTCTTGATAAATAAAGTTTGATAGCTCTGGTGTTGTTTATTAAAAGATAAAAAAAAAATTTAAAATTAGATTCTTGGGCATCACAACCGTGGCCTGACCCCTCTGACCACGGTCATGCACCCGTCAACTATGGTCCTTTTGACCACCGTCGTCCGTCAACTACGATCTCTCCGACCATCACTGCCCGCCAAGTACAGTCCCTCCGATCACTGTTGCCAGCCGACTACAGTCCTATTGACCAAACAACTATGTCAACACTCTTTTAAGAAGACTTACCATATAACGAGTTATGTATAATGTGTCATTTAGCCGACACCCTCATCCGAAGATGGATATTATTTATAATCAACCATCAGTAATAATGGATTCATTCAAACAGGGTTAGACCCTATGATTTTTTTCTTTTTCAGAATTTTTCACATAAAAATTTTGATGCACTAATCTTGGTGTCACTTATGAACAACACACCACAACTCTTTTATATGTATATGTGCCAAATATTCATACAAAATTAGGATGTTAAATTTTATATTTCTTTACCATCGAGAATTTTTATGGATGCAACATATATGAATAAAAATGATTTGATATTAGTGATATTTTTATCTAATTTAAATATTTAGAAATTATATAAGTATAAAATGCTTAAAATTTATACAATATGTATGTATATCTGCCTCGTCCAATAAAAAAAAATCATCAGAAGCGCGCATCCTTCAACCTCGTTCTCGTAGTGCCAAAAACAATCGAACACACCTACTTCCCTACCCGCATGCCCATTTCCACCTCCTTCATATGGCGCAGATCCGTTGCTCATCGCACCTTCGCCTTCATTCTCTCCTCCCTACTCCTCCACCACAACAACCCCCTCTCTCTCCTCCGCTCCAAATCCTCCCTCCTTCCCCGTCCCTTCCCATCGTCCCTCCTCCGCCGCATTTTAAGCCTTACCCGCTCCAACCCCAACATCTCTCTCCGCTTCTTCCTCTTCGCAAGCTCTCACCTTTCACTCTCCCCCACCCTCCTCGACCTTGCCACCATCTTCTCCATCCTCACTGCCGCCGGCCACCTCTTCCCAGCCTCTCACCTCTTCTGCCCCGCACTCCGCTCCTATCCGGCCGCCACCGTTTTGGACGCTCTTGTTCGCTCTTCGTCCTGTTGCAAAAATTTTCCGTCCAAAGTTCTCAGCTTTGTTCTGGAACTGTACTCTGATTTGCCATCTTGGAACGCCATGGTAACTTTCAATAGAATGAGGAAATTTGGTCTCGTCCCGAGCAGTCAAAGCTTCAATGCCTTTCTTAATATGCTCTGCTCGAATGGTGAATGCCGGACTGCATGGTTGGTTTATGCAGCTGCGCTGCGTATTGGTGTCGAGATGGATCATGGAAGCTGGGCGGTCATGGTGCGGCTTCTCTGTCTGGAAGATAAAGTTCAAAGAGGTGAAATGCTATTGAATTTGGGTTTTCCCTGCCGGTTATCAAGCTATGATTTGGTTGTGGATTGCTATGCTAGTAGAGGAGACTTCAAGTCGGCGATCCAGGTGTTGAATGGAATGGAAGAGAGAGGTTTGAAGTTGAGATTGAGTACTTTGTGCTCTGTTCTCGAAGAAAGTTGTAGGTTTGGGAATGTTAGGATTGCTGGTTTCTTCATGAAAGAAATGATTGTCAGGGATTTGCTGCCCATGGCTCCAAGCTTTGATTTTGATTGGATTATCATTAGTTTTTGTGAGCTGGGGAAGACTTATGCAGCTATGTTGATCTTTCAAAAGGCCCTTAGTTGGAATTTTGATTTGCAGAGTACTTCGTATGCTTGTCTGCTTGGTGCATTGGCTCAGAAAAGACGAGAAAAAGAAGCCTTCAAGGTGTTTGATAAAATGTCGCAAAACGGAATTGTTGTGGATCCAGGAACCCTTGATGTGTTTGTGAGTAGCATTTGTAGTGGAGAGCCAATGGAGGAAGTTGATGCAGTGATAATGAACCTTATGAAAAATGATTTCTTGCCCAAAGCTTCTGATTTATCGATCTATGTAGCTGAAAATTGTAGAAGAGGGAGATGGAAGGAAGCTACTGAACTGTTGCATTTGGCTTTGGATAAATGTGTATTGATGAATGTTTCTTGCTGTTGCTTGCTGATGAATCATTTCTGCAAGAACGGGTTTTTGGATCTGGCAATCGGTCTGCATGAGAAGGTGAAAGGCTTGGGTGGATTCTTAGATGTTGATTCTTACAACGTTTTGTTGGAAGCTCTTGTTGTGGATGGAAGAGCTATGGAAGCTGTTGGAGTTTTTGATTGTATGAGAAAGAAGAATGTGTTGAGTAGTTTTAGTTTTGTGATTATGATTAGTGCACTTTGTCATGAAAAAGAGCTGAGGAAAGCAATGAATCTCCATGACGAGATGCTGAAATTAGGGCTTAAGCCAGATATTGCAACTTACAAACGCTTGATAACTGGGTTTCAGTAAGAACAATTTGTCTGTTTATGGAAGATAAATTGGGTGAATTCTGTGTTTTTTTCAGCTGAGATCTGAATTTTATTGAAGGATCAATACTGAAATTTTTTTTGGGAGCTTAGTAGAGTAGTTATTGTGTTGTTTTGAAAGAAAAATCTGCTAAATGACTACAATTGCAGAGCTTGAAAAATATGTTCGAATATGATCTTGGTCAAGATTTTCACTCTCAAATCTGTAAAGAAATGATTTGAAAAATGTATATTTTTGTTTCAATCAGCAATTTTGGAATTGAGGGGTTGCAATCATGCCTTCTTAACCTTTAATTCTTTTAATTATGTACTCATTAAGCACTTGCAAATATGGCTGTCAAAATTGAATCACGGGTCGGATTTGGGTTCAACCTGGAATTGATCTGGAACTATTTGACCAGACCCGTTTTTACGAACGGGTCGATTTCTCGGACCCAAACCCGACCCACAAATTTACTTTCTATCTTCTCTTTTTCGTCGTTGTTGTTCGGCTTCGTTCTTCAACGAGGGGAGCTCGCTCATCATTGTGAAGGTAACTTCGCTCCTTCGACGACGTTTTCTTCCGATTGGATTAGAAGTTACAACATTTTGATCGGAAGCAACGAGGGGAGCTCGCTCGCTGTGAAGGTAACTTCACTCCTTTGACGACGTCTCCTTCCGATTGGATTTGAAGTTACAACATTTTGATCGGAAGCAACGACGGGAGCTCCCTCACTCTTTTATCTTCTCTTTCTCGTCGTAGATGTTCGACTTCGCTCCACGGACATTGCCAAATCCTATAAATACGCAGAACAATAGGAATTTTGTGTCAAAATCGGGTCATTTTTGGGTCGGATTTTCAAGTCGGGTCCAATATTAACACACCCCTGCTTGCAAATTGCAATTCTCTTTATTAAAAGGATTCAAGGAGTCTATGAGTTGTTAAAAAAAGAAAAAAAAAAGTAAAATTTCAATTTCAATCAAATAAATTAATAACATTTCTATTACAAAGAGTCCTGAAAGTTGCATTAAATTTACCATAGCTCTAATAAAGCACTACTGGATGATTATCTTCTAACCTCTCAGCCATCGAAAAAAAAAATGTCAATATATGCTGATAAAAAAATGATAATAATAGGCTTTACAAATTCTTTGATGATCTATTTGAAGATAAGTTTAATATAATTGTCAATTAAGTAATTATGAATTACATTTATTTTAAAATAAATTAGAGGACCACAAAAGTTCTAAAATTAAGTGAGAATAAGGGTTGAACAAGCCTCGATCTTTTTTGAGGATAGACAAAATAAAATTGTGAAATGCTAATTCTTACCTGTGAAATAGAAAATGAATTTATTTTTCTTGAAATTTGAGCAATTGTATTTATTGAAGATGCGCAAAATAGGTGTGTAAACGAGTTGAATTGAGTTTTAGCACTATCGAGCTCAGCTCGTCAGTCGGAAAACGAGCTCGAGCTGGTTCAACTCAATGACACCTCTAGTGCAAAATTTTTAAATTTTTTTTTAAATAAAAAATTATTAGAGCCGGCTCACGAGCTCACGAACCGAGCCTCATCAAGCTTTTACTCGACTCGTGAGCTTGATAACTATAAGCAAGTTGAGCTCGAGTTAGCTTGGCTCAATGACACCTCTAGTCTAAAATAGTTAAAATTCAAAATAGACCATTACCCGCATTAAACTCTCTGAGATTCCACCTCACAGTGCGATGCCAATATTGAAAAAAAAAAAAAAATAACTCTCTTAGGTTCCACCCCATGCAATGTTGTTCCACGCAACATATCGAATCTTGCCTCAAACTTTATAATTTGGGCGGTAGATATGGTCGAATCTCTTTCATGAAAAGATATCCACCGACCATTCTTTTCGCCCATTTTTTTCATTTTTTTTTCTCCTCGCATTTTTTTAAGCAAACTGTATTGAGAAATGATCAGTTGTAGAACAGATTACTTGACATACGAAATAAAAAAAAATGCAAAAAATTCAATAATAAAAAAAATAAAATGAATACATTATTCTATTTTTATGTATGCAAATTATCAAATACAAAAATATTTTATTTTTGGACACTTTGCTTGGCTTCATAAGTAGGATGCATGGATTCTTCGCGTCCAAATGCCGCATGAGCCACTTTTTTTTTTTCTTTTCTCCTATTTTTTCTTCATTTATTCGTAAATGGCCCCCTTTTTTCGAATAATTCCCTATGCTGCCATCAGTCTTTCCAATAAAAACTGATACCGCAATTTTCTTTTTTGTTTGGGGCTTTTGTGGAATATTTATTAATTAAGAACCATAATTTATGTATTTAATCCGAAATCAAATAAGAACATATTTAAATTTAAAAAATAAAAATTTATTTTTCTCGATTAGTTTGTAATTATAGAGAAGTTGAAGGGCAATCTTTCAATTTTCAAATGCAGAGCAGCGAAAGCTCTAAGCTTTTACAGAGTCGCCCTCCTCCGAATAATTTATAGCGCACTTCACAAAAATTTTTTCCATTAATATTTATTACCTTAATCTCGACTATATATATGAATCATCGCGCAGCAGGAAGGAGAAGAAGAAGAATTAACAAGACTGATCTCAAATGCAGAAGGAGGAGGGGGAGATGGGAGGAGGAGCAGAAGCACAAATGGAGATGGTGGGGAAGGCCTTTGTGAAGCACTATTACGGTCTCTTCGACGCCGGTAGCAGGCCAGCGCTCGCCGGGCTCTACCACCCCTCCACCTCCATTCTATCCTTTGAAGGTCGGCGATTCGACGGAGCCGACAGCATCGGCCGCCATCTCTCTCAGCTCCCCTTCGACCTCTGCCGCCACATGGTGGCCACCGTCGACTGTCAGGGGTCCCCATTCGCCGCTGGCGGCATCCTTGTGTTTGTCACCGGAAGCTTGCAACTTTCCGGCGAGGAACACAGCCTCAGCTTTAGCCAGGTTAACTTTCCGCTTTGATGACTCTCTCATTCGATTCGACCTCTTCCAACAAAAGAGATCATTTATAACATAATTGATGAAAGATCTTCTGCGCAAATATGTAATGTTGCAGATGTTTCAGCTCGTACAGTCGACGGAGGGGAGATTTTACGTGCAAAATGATATATTCAGGCTGAACTATGGATGAAAATCTGCTACGGTCTGATCAAAGGGATGAATTGGTTGGATTTCAGAAATATTTTATATATTTATGTATAAGATTATTTTTTTACTTGGCTGCAATTTTTGGATGGTTTATTTTCGTTGAATTACTGTAATAATTCCGTCAATTATATTTGTGGTGATTGTGATGAAAGTTTTAAAATATTTGGGATGAGAAAATAAAAAAAAAAAAAAATTTAATTTTTTTTTTCTTTCGAAAATACATCATTTTGTTTTTCATTATTTGCATTTATATATTCAGCTGAGAGAAAGAAAATTTGGTGGATGATTTAACATGTATTTATTTTTTATTATTTGATTACATTATTTTAAGTTTACAAAATATTTTTTTTTTCTTTATTATCAATTGATTAAATTCAAAGTTTTCAAAGCATAGTTTTTTTTTTAATATATTACAAAATATGATCAATATGCATGTATAATTTTGGGTCTAATAAATATAATATAGTTTTTAAAGTTTAATTAATATTTTTATTTTGATTACTTTGGAAAGCAAATAATTCTTAAAAAAATTTATTTATTTATTTTATCTTATACTAATTTCACATTATATAATAATAAAATATAATTTATATTACATACATATGCTTAACATTTTTACTATAACTATAACATAATTATTTATATACAAAAAATTATACAAATAATATACACTACAAGATAACTTTGTTAAAAAGTATTAACCAAGTGTTCTTGTATTAGAAGAAATCACTCAAATAATTATTTAAAAAAAATTGCAAGTTGTTATTTGCATTGAACAATCTTGTTATTGTTAATAAAGCAATTTATGCAACTCTTGATAATTTCTTAGGGCAAAGCTTCACTCCTAAAATGAATTCATGTAAAACTTAAAATTGGGCTGTGCTTTATTGGGCTGGGCCTACAAGCAAGCTCATATATGTAATTGACTTAGAGAATGAAGCCCAATCCTACATTTGTGTTCATTTATTTGGAGAGTTTATTGATGCTTTTATTGAGGGATTTATGCATATGGCACCGCAATTCACTCAATTATAATGGTAATTATAATTTAGGTTTTATAACTAATAATATAATTGTTGGTGGCTAGAATATATGCGGCGATAGAGTAAGAAAATTTTCATCTCAACGTTGTACGGATATCCAACACACAAACAAGAGAAAAATAAGAACACCATGATTTTTACATGGAAAACCCTAAAAAATAAAAAAACTACGGGGCCACGCCCAGTTAAAATAATTCCACTAGTTTTGTTTGAGTTACAAGAGGCTGACTCGTCCTTAAAATTTAAGACGATCAGATTAGAATGCTTCACTTCCAGATTGAAATCTGATTGCAAACAAGTTGCGTATTTGAGCTAAATTCAAAGTCACTTAAAATTCCGGTGTCACATGGAAATCAGGCGGAGTTCCGACGTCATTTGGGCGTCGGGCAGAATTCAGGTGTCACTTGGGCGTCGGGCAGAATTCCGGCGTCACTTGGGTGTCAGACAGAATTCCAACGTCGGTGGTCGAGGAGGAATTTCTTTAGTAACAAATGAAGCTTGTTAAGTAATTTGATGTTATGATTAAGGCTTCGTTTGGGATAATCTTATTGCTTGTAAAAATAAATTTTTAATAAAAAAAATTAAATTTTTGTACTAATAAGCTGCTATAAGAAGCCGTCTTGCTGCTTCTTATAGCATCTTTCTAGCACAAAAAATAAACTATTTTAAGAAGCAATTAAAAAAGTCATTCCTGTTGCGTCCAGGAGTATTCGCGGCGGTAGAGAAATATCATATTTAACGTCTTAGCATTGTACGAAAATCCGGCACGCAATCAGATAAGGAGAGAGGGTCTAGCATTTATGAGACACCAGGATTTTTTGTGATGACGTATCAATTCCAAACTGAACTTGATCAGAAGCATACTCCTCTCGTCATGAGCTGCCGCGATTCAGTACAAATTTGTTCTGGCATATCCCAAATTGTATACAATTCATCGTTCTAGGTGTAAAATTTCAAAGCTTTCATGACTTGATCAGATCGAGAATCACTTGTGACGTCGAATTATTTTGAAAAGATGAACGGCTAACCTAAAAATGAAAGTATTTTTTTGTCCATTCTTTTTTATGGCTCAAGTCTTGGGGTTAATCAAGTCGAGCCGAGCCCGAGTCACATCAAATTTGAGCTTGATTAATTAATTGAGTTCTAGCTCCAACTCAAGTTTTATTTCACGAGTTCGAGCCGGATCACCAGCTAACTGATTTATTTTAAATGAAAGATAATGTTTATGATTCAAAAAATATTATAATAAAATAGTAAAAAGAATGAAAAATTGGAATAAAAATAAAAGATAATTGTTTAATATAAAAAGTGGGGGTAATTTATAAACATTTTTAACAATTTTATATTTAAAATTTTGAATCCTAATATATTTTATATTCTTATCTTTTAAATGAGCAGGCTCGTGAGCTAATAAGCAGAGTAAGAACTGTCTCAAGCTTTACTTGTTAGCTCATCGAGCTCGACTTCACTCACTTACGCTCGTACTCAAATTTAATCTCAATATCTTTCCAGTATTAAAATGCAATCTAACTGATCAATGAGCTATTTGCATATATATAATTGAACTGGTCTCACTTTGATCTATTGATTGAAAACTTTAACATTCAACTAAGAGATGTTGAACTCAAAACCTACTCAAATATCTCTACTCACTAATTCTGAAAACCGTAGCTCTCATCTCAGCCATCCACTGATATACTTCATCAACGGTTTGATCTTCATCTGCTCTGCTGCCCTTTATCTTAAAAACTAAAATAAATACAGTAAGGTTGTAGACAACAGTGATGTAGTAGTTTAACAATTCTGAGTCCACCTTTTTCTTCCCTATGCTTTAAGCTGTTTATATGGCTTTAATTGCTGTTAACTCTGCTGTAATTATCTTATAGTGAAATGAAAATGGGCTTTGCCTATAATTTTTCCACAAAAAATAAAAAAAAAACGTGCACCGCCTTCTAACAATTTGTCATACAATGACCTAACAACGCAATAAATTAAGATTTTTTTTGAACTGTCGCTATTTTCGGCTGTATCTTTTACTTCATTGAATAGTACTAATCAATACTTCTTTCTATTTTTCTTTCATGTAATGGACGTATGGACCTGTGTGTCTGTGTTGAGAGAAATTATTACGTGCTGTTATCGAATGTTTTTCGGAGGCGAACTAATTAAGACGCGCTACATCATTATTTTGTTGTGTATCAGTATTATGTACCACTCTGTACCGGATGATTTGAGATATTTTGATTCATCTTTAGACCATCTGATGATCATATGTAATAAATTCTCATGTGTTGATGGCCACACAAAATAAAAAAGGAAAAAAATGGTGTCAATTAATCCCTTCTAGTACAATCGCTTCCTTTTTCTCTTTTTGAAGCATTACTCTCTCTTTACTATTTGACTCAGAATAATTGTGTTAGTTCTGCTCCCACTTATTTTTGCTCCTTAAGTGCTCCTTTTTTAATCTTAAATTATAGCAAGAATCCCTAAGCGCATGCTTTTTTGGTTTCTTTTAATTTCATGTAGGTGATCATTGAAGGCAGTTTCAAGAACGCCAGTTATTTATCTCAAAATTATATAGCTGATACACTACCAAAAGATTTATTTGGTCAATTATGTATCTTCATATATAATTAAATTTTAAATTTAAATTTAGGGCCATCCAAACTCTAATTTTGATGAATTTATAGTCGGGTTGAATAACTCAACAAGGCAAGCTTAATGACATAAAAAATAATTCGGTCTGAGTCCAAATGAGCTCAAATCGTGTATTTGAAGTATAGTTCAAAAGTTCGTGAAATTAATCAAAGGAGTAAATAGTTCCTAAATACTGCATTCTTAACATTAAAGTGAGCTTTTCGATATAAAAAATCCAACAAGCTTAAAATCATTGAATTTTAAAGTCATTAACGCACTTAAATATCAAATTAGTAGTTTATTATCAAGAGAATCAATATGAGTTATACGATAAACTACTTTTGATTCTAGTTATATTTATGAATATTGTCATTCTAAAAAAATATAAGAGACCACACTCTATGCACCACAGTGAACCTAGGATGAGAGAGAGAGAGAGCCTAGATTCATAGCAAATCTCTGAGCTTCATCCAACTATCCTCTTTCAGCCACCACCTAATCATTGCCATAAAAAAATTGTCCAATCATTGTTGTATGACAACCGCTTAATCACCATAGTGAGATCATTATCAAACTATCACCGTTAAAACACCACCTTCAGTCACCATCATACCAACTCTCGATCGTAGTCACTAGACCATTGACTGACTGAAACCATCATACCATCCCTCGCCATTAGACCATTGCCAAATCGCCGATCAATCACCAACGTCATACTATCATTCACTGACTAGAATCGCCTTATTACTATCATGTAAATAACATTGCATGACTTTGGCTAGCCAACTACCATCGTGCAACTATAATTGTCCAACCGCTATTGTCCAAGGTCTTTTGACATTCATATCTTGACTATAATCTTTCAAGAAAACTCACCCAATTAAAACCCTTCGATAGCAATCTCATATCTACAATCCTCCAATCATTATCCACGCCCATAATCTGCTACCGCCATCGTCTGATCATGATCAAACAACTATTTAATTTTGTATCATCAGATTGTTTAATTAGAAAATCAATCAACTACATAAAACATTTTTGACACTGCCCTAATGACTGCAGTCATTTATTTGGACCAGTCTCTAACATTTTTAAAATAAGAAAACTGCTCAATTTGTGCTAAGGAGACATAAATGATTATTTTTATCACCAATAAGGCATAGACGATACGTAATTGATAATAATTTTTAAATAGGTACGACGCAATTTTTTTTTTTTTTTTTTGTCTCGTTCAAATTCTTATAAATCCCAAAAAAAAAAATCTTATATATGATGCTGATTGTACAGTCTCCAGCAATCATTTTGCCATTTTTCGAGAGGTGTCGGTGCAATTGCAGAAGTTTTTTTTTTTTTTTTTTTTTTTGTGTGTAAAACTTACGGTCTGTATGAAAAATAATTACAAAGAAAAGAGTCAAAATAATAGCTAATCCAATGGCCAATCAATAAGCTCAGAGCTGCCAGATAAAAATAGCAATGCTCAAAACAGCAAATTAAAAACAACTAAAAGAAGACTATTGAAAAACATTAGGATTACATTTGTAGAGTTTTTCAATAATTTCTAGGATCATTTATGCCAAAAATTATTTCAATCAGAATCCGTCACGTCACTTCTTCGTTCGGTATCGTGGCTTGATATTGCTCGGTACTACGGTTCGGCACCGCTAATGTGACTACAACTGATTTGACTCCAGACATAGAGCTGCATTCGACGTCCGCACCGAATAATATCTCCACTTATGCTTATATTTGATCCCTTATCTCTCTCTTTTACCTTTTTTTTTCCTTTAGCTTATTGGTGCATAGCTAAATACATAACTCCATGGAACCTCCTAACCCAGATGCTTCAAATTTTTTAGGAAATCTGTGCATATGGTGGCTGATAAAGCTCAAGTTTTCTTTTCCTTTGATATTAATAAGGATAGCTCTATTTCTATGATTTGGAAGCACTGGTGTGAAGGAAGGAACTTAGTTTACCTGTTTGGATTGGAAAATATTTCACTTTACTTTTTATCCTTCTTCCTTTGTGAATGACTACATTATTTCTAACAATTGAAACCTGCCTTTTAACACTCCTCTATACTTAAAGCATGCTATTTGGGCTGTCTTGATTGCAGAAAACTCTCCAATTGATATCTTTTTCTACAACTATGATACCAGTACATTTAAAGCTATGTTATCCTCTTTTTATACTAATTTGCAACCTTTAAATTGGTATAATTGGGTTTGGCACAAAAAAAAAATGCGTGAAAATTCTCTACTTTTCATGGCTGGCTTTATTTGGGAGACTAAATGATGTGAATCAAGGTAGGAATTGCAATTAGAAATTAAAATGAAGATTATTCAAAACATTATCATCACAAATTTAATTACCAACAAAAGTCAAGGATTAAATCGTTCAAAGTAATTAACTTGCTTAGGCGAAGATATGCTTTCGTCGATAAACCTGCCTAAAATGTTTGTCGATGACCTCATCACTAAAAACATCTAATGTATTGACTAAACATGAGTTGCATCTTGGAATGAATTGTTGCTTTTGTTTCAGTGGAATTGAAAGTGTGTTGCATTTATTATTTGAATGTGATTACACTTTTGCTATCATTCTGGAGATTCTACTTAAAACTGTAAATTTTTTATTTAGACTCAATATTTTTCAAGTTTTTCAATTATTTGAGGAGTTTAATTATGAACATAAGGCTAAAAAATACTGTCATTTTCTAGCTATTTGATGCTCTATACGCTTTATTTGGCATAAAAAAAATTCTAAAAAATTTGAGCGATATTTCAGCAATATATCGAATGTTTGTCATAATATTAAATCTACCTTACGAGCTAAATTTGTGGCTGGAAATCAAAAGCTCATGTGTTATATCTACTATCTTGATCTCATGTGTTTGACGTTGGTTTTTTGTTTCTTTGAGGATCTAGCTACTATTACTATTCTTGCTGTTGCCCCGGCCCATTTGGAATATTTAGATAGTCATCCATTTACATACAAATTGCTTGTTTTCTACGATTTTTTGCTCTTGGCTGACCTATGTGGAATGAAGTTGTTCAGATCATTTTCTCCTCCTTGACAATCATCACTGCAACAACTTTGTCTAGATGGCTATCTTGGCAACTAGGGGAGTTCATATATGATCTTAATTTTTATATTTATTCTTGTTTTTTAACTTTAATAAATACAAATTATAATTCCATTAGCTTAAGATTTATTATTATATTATTTTTATCAAACCATATCAAGCTAACACATATCTTATTAATCTCAAAGGTAAATGAAGTATAATAAATAGAATTAACTTAAATTTGCATTGCAACTTCTAACAACTAATAATGAAAATATATAATTGTTGCGCGCGGGCTAGAACATATATGGCGATAGAGTTAGAATTTTACGTCTCATCGTTGTACGAATATTCAGCACGCAAACAGAGAGCACAAGATTTTTATGTGGAAAATCCTAGAAAAGGGAAAAATCACGGAACCACACCCGTTGAAATAATTCTACTATTACCTGAATGATTCGTCCTCAAAATTGAGAACAATCAGATTACAACAGCCAACGCCGGGGTTGAAATCTAGTGATGAACAAAAAACGGATGAAAGTCCTATGATGTTCAGTTGTTGGGCATAAATTTAGCATTAGTTGGAGGTTTGGTAGAAATCCGATGTCATTTGGCTGAATGACAGAAGTCTAGCATCAATCGGTGGTCGGGCCGAAGTCCGCCGTCAATTGGCGTCAGTGTGGAAGCTTGGAATCAGTTGGTGGACGAGCAAAAGTCCGACGTGAGTAGGTGGAAGGGCTGAAGTCTGACGTTAGTCGGGGGCAAAGCGGAAGTTCTGTGACAGTCGAAGGCCGGGCAGAAGTCCGGCATTGATATAGGAGGAGTCTGGTAGCAAGGGAGCTCTCTTCCTTCTCTTCCTAGCTTGGTTTTCCTTTCCATGAGAAATAAGTGGTCTTTTTATACTTTTCTGAGAGTAGCATAACCAATAAATAGAAACAAGACCAATGATAAGTTGGGAGTTGTTTGAATGAACAAGCGTGGACTGTTTACTGGACATTTGAATGACTTAATGATATCAGAATTCAGTGAACTTGGGCTCATCGGATTTGTCTCATTGAGCCGTTGGATTTTACTAAAAGCATGTTACATTTTGAGTTCGTTTGGTAATCCAAACTTTGGTTTGAACCTTCTAAAGGCGCTTCAGATTAAGTTGAATTTAGTGTTGTTGGATTCATAATTCTGAGGCATTCAGTTTGACTGTAAATTTGTTGAAATCAGAGTTTGGATGGTTTCAAATTTAATTTTGAAAATTTCCAACTTGATTTTGCCTCGAGATTTATGCCCGATCAAGATAATTTGTTGATGATATAGCAATAATTATTTAAACAAAAAAATGTTACAACAAATATGATTTTAAATATAATCAAACTTATAATGTTAAATTTTTATTAATTATTTGTCATTTTAAATCAACTTTGTTAAATAATCCATAAAATAAATTGAATTATTTTATGACACTAATTTATCATAGATGCTAATTAATTAAAAATGTCATTCCTAATATTAAAATTTTATTATTGAGAGTTTAAGGAAATATATTTTTATTTTGTACTATTCTTTCATGTTCCCTTAAAAGCACTTGGATGCTGGGGTCCACTTCATTTACCTCTCCTTTTTATTCGCCTTGATCTATGCTAATTACTTTTAATTTTGCACTGTTATATTTCTAATTAAATTCAAATAATTACTTTCAAGTATATTAATTATTATTATATAAATAAAGAAAGAAAACTCAAGCTATTCATATGTGTTCTATAAATACCATAAAGCCTCGCCTAAAGAACTCACATCTGATCTAACTGACCTAACCAATGGCATCTTCAACATCCATTGGAGACTCACTTCTTCCTTCTCCCACCAACAAGTCTCGCTCCTTCTTCAAACCCTTCTTCATTTTCCTCTCGTTGGCCACTCTGATCTCCCTCGTCATCTTCGCTCCTCACCATCTAACCGTCCATCTTCACCCGACCAACTTACAGCCGTCAGATCTCTGCGTCCATTCCCCAAACCCCACCAACTGCGCCGCCCTTCTGTCAGACTCCGCCTCCGCCGGCGCCGTCCGATCCCCCACCTTCCTCCTTCACTCCCTCCTCCGACGCTCCCTCCTCGAGATCCACGCCTCCCTCTCCCAATCCACCGATCTCCTCCGTCAGATCAATGATCCCCACATCCTTGATTGCGTCGACCTCCTCGATCTCTCCCGCGACCGCATACTCAGCTCCAACGCTGCCATCGCAGCCGGATCCTATGGGGATGCTCGCACCTGGCTTAGCGCCGTGCTCACCAACCACGTCACCTGCCTTGACGGCCTTAAAGATCCGTCGCCATTAAAAGCTCATCTAGACTCCCTGACGGAGCAAGCCAGTGCCGCCCTCGCCGTTCTCCGCGCCATCACGGTTGATGACGGCCAGTTAACAGAAACCGTTACAGAGTTACCCTCATGGGTAAGTCCAGTCGGCCGGAAGCTTCTAGAGGCAACCTCGCTGGCAGCGATAAAGGCCGACGTAACAGTGGATGCAAACGGCGGCGGAAACTATAAAACGGTTCAGGCAGCCGTTAACGCTGCGCCGGACAACGGGAAGGCTCGTTTTGTAATTTATGTGAAGAAAGGTACTTATAAGGAAAATGTGATCGTAGGGAAGAAAAAGAAGAATTTGACGATCGTTGGAGACGGTCAGAACGCGACCATTATAACGGGGAGCTTAAACTTCGTTGACGGCTCCACCACTTACAACTCCGCCACATTGGGTCAGTTTAACTAACTAAAACTCTCGTTAAAAATTTTAATTGTAATTAGTAAGATATTAGAGCACTAATCGATCGGCTAATCATATACAAAAATATTTTCATGAAGAAAAAAATCTTTTAAGATAAGTGTACTACATAAAAATGAATAAAAATGTTATTATATTAATTTTAAAACAAATTTAATGAATTTAAAATTTATCATGAATGAATAAAAAATATTATCTTGACTCTGATAAATCTATTTTTTTCAACAAAACGTGCTCTATTCATCATTAATGTTTTAAATATTCTTATTCCGTCTAATCTTCTTATTAAAATATATTTAAAAACAAAAAAGATTAACTTGTCTGGCATATGGTGGGGAACCAAGAATCTAAAAATAATTTTATATGTTCGTTGTCTATATATGCAGCGGCTATGGGTGACGGATTCATACTTCAAGATTTGTGCGTAGAGAACACAGCCGGTCCAGCGAAGCACCAGGCCGTTGCCCTCCGGATCAATGCGGATCAAGCCGTAGTGAACCGGTGCCAAATAAGAGCCTATCAAGACACCCTATACGCCCACTCTCTTCGTCAATTCTACCGCGACTCTCTCATATCCGGAACCGTCGATTTCATATTCGGCAACGCGGCGGTCGTTTTCCAGAACTCCAACTTACAGGCCCGAAAACCAATGGCCGGCCAAAAGAACGCCGTCACGGCGCAGGGCCGGATCGACCCGAACCAGAACACTGGGACTTCAATCCAAAAGTGCAGGTTGGTGCCGTCGCAGGACCTTAAGCCGGTGACCGGTTCGTTTCCGACTTATTTGGGCCGGCCGTGGAAAGAGTACTCACGGACGGTGGTGATGCAGTCGAGTATTGATAATCACGTGAATCCGAAAGGATGGCTGGAGTGGGATGGCAATTTTGCGCTGAAGACTTTGTTCTACGGTGAGTATCAGAATGATGGACCGGGTGCGGGAACCGCCGGTCGGGTTAACTGGACCGGGTATCATGTGATAACTGATGCGAAAGTGGCCAACGATTATACTGTAGCGAAATTGATACAGGGAGAGCAGTGGCTGACGGGCACGGGCGTCGACTTCACGAATGGTCTTTGACTGATTCGATCGGGAAATATAAGATATGCTTTTTGGTTTCCCTATGTAAGGCGTGAAGGAGAGAGCGTGGAAGTTGGGGTAGCTCTTTTATTAAGATGCTCTGTGCTTATTAATTATTATATTTTAGTATTTTACCACTACTTTCTATATTAAGAAATCTATGTTTAAGTTTTTTTTTTTGGTGATTTTTTTATCCAATGAAGTCACATGTCAACATGTGCAACAAAAATATTCACATAAGATTAAAATTAGATATTTATGTATTAAATATATAAAATAAAATTATGAGAATTAATAAAATGAGAATTTATATATGATGTTAGATATTGGAAATATTTTCTTGTAAAGAGATGTTTTCATAATTACAATTTGATGCATAATACATAACTAAGTGATGGGAACTAGTGAGCATAGAGAAATCCCACATCATGAAATTATCATGATGATCCAAAATTATATATATTCACTTATAATTTATAGGGTTAGGGAGCTATAAAAAAAGGTTGCATTTATGATAAATAAATAGCTTCATAATTAGGCCAATATAGACTGATATAGATATGTGGATTAATTAGATGATATACACATGAACCTCTGTCTTTAACTTGGCTATGTCGCCTCAAATGAGTGCCTAGGGCAAGTCGCCAGTGTCTTAGGTAATTCTTTGAGATCTAGCAGGTAGGGTGAATGTGTGAGGCAAAGTTTACAAAAGCTGGAGGCATGTTCTTAAGAATGAGAGATAAGTCTCATAGATGAAAGCATAGGCTAATTTAAGAAAAGCTCTGAATGGCCAATTCCTCCACCTATTTTCTTTCTTTGTTTGTTTTTTTTTTTTTTATTAGAACATGCATTTAACTAATACAACCCCTCTCAATAAATTCATTTCAGCAAAATTCTAAAAATTTGAAAACCTAAATTCTTGTTTGAACTAGAGCTCAGTAGCGAGCTAGGTAGAGGGCGCAACGACGTCAGAAAACATCATCGCAACAATGGAGACGATGTCCTATAGTAATTTGAGATTCAGCATGCAACACTGCAGCGCTGGGTGGTGGCTTTGTGGTGTTACACACACACAGATATATATATATATATAATTTATAATATATATATATATAATATAATAATAATATATATAATAATATTGATAGTTATTAGAATATATATATATATATATATATATATAATATATATAATATTTAAATTTGTTATGTTGTGACCTCATTTTTGATATTGATCACTTGCATAGTTTTATTGCATATTTTGTGGGTCAATCCACTTTCGATTCATTGTTGGTTTTGGAATTTATTTATTTTGGTTATATATACTTCTTTATCATGTTTGAAAATATATGTCATTGGATCGACGTCGATTTGATGAATATATTTATATTGATTTCATTGCATTTGAGCCTTTATCGCACATGTTCATTCTGTGTGTAAAATCTTTTGGTCGGGACTTTATTTTGTGAAACGGATCGCATCGTTGTTCGGCTTGTCAAGACGAATTAAATGAACCCATTCACACACGAATCAGGTGTCATTTGATGTGTGCCAAAGAGAGGGAATTAAATACTATTATTATCATTATTATTAGAAGTATTATTTAAATATATAATAAAAAATAGATTTGTTCTATTTATTTAAAATTAAATTAACATAATAAATTAATTAAAGATTGAATATAAAATATATAATTAATAAGTACTTATAAATATTAAATAAATATAACTAACATCCTATTCAAATTAAATCCTATTGAGCTTGCTTACATACAAACAATACCCAATATCTTTTTGGCTCGTAGTCGTGGAAGTTGGGTTAGCTCTTTTATTAAGGTGCTCTGTGCTTATTATATTTTTTATATTTTTTTTTTTTTTTTTTTTTTTTTTTTTTTAATAGGAAAAAATTATACTTTAAATCCTTAATATAAAGTTTTATTCTACAGTTAACACAAAACTCGCAATTATATGCTCCATTCACTGAGAATTTGAAACTCACTAGCTGCATCTTACTTATCTACGTAGCAGAGTCTGCAGGCAGTTAGAAAGCTACCGTTGAAAAAAACAGAAACAAATATCCATAAAAACATCTCAAACAAGCAAATGAAAAAAATCTCTATATAGTATTTCTATTATTGTAGTAAATGTAAGACTGTATCAAATCCGAGTAGACTCTCAGAATTTTATAATCTGTATATATCAATTCTCTTCCCACGAACAAACTCCACCCCAGCATTGAGGCCAGCAATATAAGTTCCATATTGCATGATCCAATTGTGGTTAAAAAGTACTATACAGTCTTATCAAGTGTTCTTCCCAATTCACAGGAATGTTTATATGAACTGAACACCCAATTTTGCCTAATGGATAGTTATACCAACCATATGGTAGGCATCCATACTTGAATATACAATTGCCACAATTTAGTAGAACAACAAACACTTTGACTCAACTTTTAGTTCAACTTGGAATATGAGCACTATTATGAAAGAGTTGAATACAACCACATTTTGAGAATTTGAGTAGCTCTTAATGGGTGTTATTAGTAGCATGCTGCTGTACTTTGCATTATTCCAACTCCCCTTTAGCAATTACCTCACCTGTTCGTGAACTATTTGTTTTCCATTTTTTCAAAGCCTCCTTGTAAAACCTCCATTATTCGATTAATGCGCTACTAGATTTGGGATTCTCCCATGCAAACATAAGAGTTACACCAAACCATACATGCGAACTCTTCCGACCTCGTGTCATTCAAAACTTTGAGAAAAAATAACAATTCTCTAAATCCAAATACATCTTCTGGTCTGAGAATGTTTGCTTCTTATTTCCATCCATTTTTTTCCAAAGCCCCACAAGCATTCAGATAATTTTAATATCCATCTTTTGCCTGTTAATCTACCTTTTCAAACATGTCAACTCTTTGTGGTGAGTACCTATGCTTTTCTCAATAAGTGTAATTCTGTAGTCATATTTGGATCATAAAAATACGAGATTAATGTCTGTCTTTCCAATTCCTCATTTCTTCCCAATGATTGCAAGAACCCATACATCACTACCACGCTCTCAAATTTCTACTGTGAGAGATGCAGCTGGGAAACGAGTTTCAAAATTGAAAGATTGTTCCTTCTCCCTGTTATTCAATCGCCATCTCGTGCGACGGTAGCCCGCTTCGCCGTCGATTGAGCGTCCTCTTACTTCACCTATTTCGCGCGGCCACTCCTTCTGCATCGGCGGCTTCATCTTCACTTCACCGATCTCGCGTAATCGAGCATCTTCATCTACAGCATTGAAGCTTCATCTTCTTCCTTATTTTATCTAATTTCTCTTGACCAATCCAGAATTCTCTCGACTCCACTCCCACGAAAACCACCTCGCCTCTTTTCACTTCCAAAGATGTTCATCGCCGCCGCTTCTGCTTGCACCGACATGGTCCGGGCTCTGCATTACTTGTGAAATATCTGCCAGGAAGGAGGACCCACTCAGTTACCCTCCTCTTCGGAAATACCTGAAGCAGGCTCCAGTCAAAATACCCGTCTCTCTCCACACGCCCTTATCTAGCATTTATCTCATGTCTCCCACATCAAAGATATCTTCTTTTCCAATGAAACTGTCCGCCCCCTTGATCACTAACCAATAAACCCTCTTGTCAACCATTATTCCACCCGAAGGACTTTAAATCACCGCTTCATCCGCGGAAGCCTTGGTTGTGAGAAATTTCGTTTGTAGGTTACAAGGTGCTAAGTTATGGCAACACTTCTATGAGTCAGACGTCTCTTACACTATCTGTGGGTTGGCCGTAAAACGTATTCTTATAACAGACTCTTATCGCCGAGATACCACGCTGTCCTTGCTCATGTGCTTATTATATTTTACCACTGTCTTTAATCGTTATTTAATAAATCTATGTATTTAAGCTGGAATCTTTTTTTTTTTTTTTATTTTTAAATAACTAGAATCTTTATGAATGTTGTAGATCTTAATTCCAAGACAGAAGTCACCACTTTTCATACATGTTTTGCATTTATATTAACACCAATTTATTTGCCTAGTAATGATAATGATTTTAATTACCATTTAGTGTTAAGTATATAATATATAAAAATAAATATTCTTAAATTGTATATCGTCATTCAATCATAATAAAAGAAATTTTAGCATTGACATAGGCTCGATAGCTCATGGTCAATAAATATTTTGAGATATACTTATCTAAAATACTTCAAAAATCCCCAGGAAGTCCTTATTTCACGAAAGCTCCTGATTTTAACGCCATGCTTACTTTAGTTCATACCTTTTGAGCCGTTCTTCGGAAATTACTATAAAGGCCAAACAGACTCCTAATACCTGACCTCCAATCGAGCCTCACTATGGG